TCTCACAGCTGGGTGGGGGACCAGCGAGTGGACAGATGACTGTGTAGTAAGTGTAATGGTACAGGCAGGCTCAGGCATGCAGGTGACTGGTGGGGCTCCTGGACCCCGTGATGGCTGAGGACTGGAGGAGGAAGGGCAAGCAGACTGCCCTACCTGCAGTGCCTGCTTCTCGGCCACAGAAAACATCCCTGCACACCCTTCCCCACGTGCCCCCACCTTCCAAACTCCCCTCAGGGAGGGTCCATGCCTAGGTGTGGTGGGCAGCAGTATATGAGCCATGAGCCATGGCACCCACCCAGCTCCGAACGAGATGCCTGGTGAACCACCAGCAGCAAGAATAATTCAATTACCTTCCCTTTTACTTTTCAGAAAGGACACGTTTAAATCTATCTGGTGGCTTTGCATGCTGCGTCAATTTGGTACAAGTCACTTGATCCATTAGGCATGAAATTGGGTGAGGCCTGTGCAGCCACACCCCACCCACCCCACCGTGGAGGGAGGTTGTTTGAGATGGGAGCTGACAACAGAGGTGAATGGCTGTTATCATTGGACCCTCGCTTAGGGTGTCCCTGCCAGAGCCGGAATCCCGCTTTAACCTCTCCCCAGACTGGGCAGGTGACTAGGCCATGAGTTTGGGAGGGGACCAGACAGCACCAGGAGTCAGGAGCTCTGAACCAGACCCCAGCTCCTTCATTGCTACCCAGTCAGTCACTGTCTTCCTGAGCCTCAGTTTTCTCATCTATAAAATGGGTATGAAAATCCTTGTCCTGGTGCTTCTGTGGGTCAGGCAGGCTCGAAAAATCAGGGTCTTCTCTCCCACCCCTTGTTACTCAAGAAGAAACCAAAGCCTAAAGGGGCTTACTAAACAGTTCGAGGTCACAGCCTGACAAACGGCAAAGCCAGGAGCAAGCTCAAGCCCAAAGACTGGGCTCTGTTACCTGCAGTGGAGCAGCAGGGCTGGCTTTGGCCCCGTGGAGACGGTAAAGGTGAAGCAATGTGGTCCATACGCCTGTGCTACCAGCTGACCTTGCGGGAAAGTGCTGCCTACACCGCCAAGCTTGGTCTCCTTACCCAGAATGCCAGGGTTCAGAGCCAGAGCCTCTGTTCCAATCCATCTACTTGCCCATCCTGCTGTCTTCCCTGAACCTCAGTGCTGATTCCTCTCATTTTCACCTTCTGCCCAACCCCTTGTTCATTTCCCTCTCCCCACGCACAGAGCCATGGAGGACTGCTGCTTATTTAACTGCCCACAGTCACTGGACCCAGTTTACAAAGGGTGAGAGAGGCCACTGGGCTGAAAGGATTGCATCCCCCAGGGCCCTTTCACCTTCTGCTGCAGATCCTCCCCAGGATAAGCTGGGGGCCATGGAAGGCCAGGTGCCACTATGCCTTCCCCTACGCTTGGCGGCCAGTCTGAGCAGGACCACCACACACTTCAGATTACCGGAGATGGAGGATGGAGGGGGTTAAATGAGCCACTCCACTGAGCTCTGCAAGCAGAAGGCATGTGCTGTGAGCCTGATTCTACCAGAGCTCAGAAGACGGTGTCGGGGCCACCCTGAAGCTCTTTACAAAGCAGCATTTTGAGTCATTTAAAAAATTTTTCTTCTATGTATAGGATGCATGGGGTGCTTGATAGGGCAGCAGACCCTCAACATCTGCCTTTTCAAAACGATGTTTAACTATGACCAAGCACAGCACCTAGCTCCTTGCAGACACACAGGGGATGGGAGCTGTGGCAGTTTTTAACAAAGGGTGACAAGGTCACTCACTGCCTTCCCCTTGTCACCAGGGCTGCTGTTTAGCATCTGTCACCATGTTCTGAAGGTAGCTGCCCACATTGACAGGTAAATAAGCAACGAGGTCTGGGAGGTGGGGAAAGCACCTAGGCTGCCCATCACCTCCTAAAGACCACAGTGGGAGCTTGGCAAGACCATTAATCACATCTAGAGCCTTCCATGGCACAGCCTTCGGCATCAGCCTCTCCTGGCTCTAGTAAGTCTCCCCTCTCACAGTCTTCACGCTGATAGCCCTTGGCACTGGAGGGAATGCAATCCTCACTTCCTCCAGCCTGACCTGTGTGGAAGGCCAGGGGCGGGGTGTGGGGGACTGGGCAGGGCTGGGTGATACAGACACAGGAGGAGGGCGGGGCCTCGGGTGACAGGGGCATGGACCATGTATGCACCTCCCAGTCCATCACCTGTCTCCTCCAGTAAGCCGGCAGCTCCACGAAGGCTGGCCCTTAGCCCTTCCCAGGCTCAGCTTTCCTTCTGTGCCTGCAAAGGTGCCCCGGGCATGGGGTTGTGGGAAGGTCAATAAATAGTTATCAAATCTAAACATGTTAATTGAGTTCTATACTCAGATCTGCCTCTGAGTATCTTTGGACAGATCTTTCCCCGATTCTGAGCCTCAATTTCCTCATCTGTAAAATTACCTTGTGGCTTTCTTCTAGTCCTGAGAGTTCTTTTAAGACCTGGGCATGCTGATAGACATGGCCTTGGGGCATGGAAGCAAGAGAAAACACTTGGGGGGACCACTTAACCCACTTGGATCCATCCCCTCCACCTTTGGAACACCTTTGGCTATGACAGCAGGGCGGCCGCGGCAGGGCGCTGCCTGCAGACGGAGCTGGACTTGGACCTCAGTGCTTTGGAGCCCAGACATCAACGGGGCCACAGTTTACTGAGGGCTGCGTGCCAGGCCCTGTGCTAAGGGCTTCACGAGAGCTTCACGTTTCACAGGATGCGGGGGAGCTGGTATCGGTTGCAGACCCCTTAGACAGGTGAGTCAGAGGACCAGCAAGAAGGGAACCGGGGTCCCACGGACAGGGGATGGCAGAGGCCAAGGCGCCGTAGCCCAGGTTGCAGAAGTGGGAGAAGGCCCGGCTGGTGTTTACTGCCTTGGGCCCTGGGCTAAGCACAATGCAGATGTGGCCTAGGGTCCACATTTCTGGAATTTGCGGAGTCGGCCTGCAGGGAGGAGGACCACTTCAGGTCGGTTCTCTGCCCCAGGCTGGGCCGGGTTGGGGAATTTGAGAGGCAAGGGGACCCTTGCCATCTTCTAAGGATGTTAAGCTGACTTTTAACGAGCTTCTTCATGACTTCTGTTTCCTGCTGAACAATGAGAAATGCTTTGCTGGTGTTACTTGAGTTTAACCTTCTTGGATGCGCTGCTGCTCGTATGTCATTAAAGAACAATGACAGGCTTCTTCCTTCACGAAAATGTACTTCATCACACAAAATTTAGCAGAGAACTCGCAAGATCATTTTATCTTGATTTTTCTTTATGGCACTTCTCACTCTCTGACAACGTATTTATTTTCCTGCTTATTGTCTGTCTCCCCGGCTAGGATGTTCCCTCTAGAAAAGCAGGGCGGCCCTGCCGGCTCACCATGGAGTCCCAGTGTGGGGAGCAGTGCCGGGCACTTCGCAGGTGCTCAACAAATACTGGCTGAGTAAGTAAGCCCGCTGGCACAGGAAGACGGGCTCATGGGCGCTCACAGGTTCCAGGCTCTAAACATGCCCACAAAACTCCGTCAGGAAGGCAGTATGAGTCTTTTCTTGACTTCCATCATTCTTTTTGTTTGGGGGCCAAACTGGGTGCTTGGGGCATATTTATTTGGTCATTAGAGGAATAATAATTGCCATTATTAATAAATGAGATCATGACCTCCTGTTGTATAGCATGTGTTATGGGCTGAATCGTGACCCCAACAAAATTTGTTGAAGTCCTAGTACTCAGGACCTCAGAATATGGAAGGCCTTTAAAGAGGTGATTAAGGTAAAGTGGGGCCCTTTCAGATGGTCCCTAATCCAATCTGACTGGTGTCCTTATGGGAAACATAGACACACAGAGAAACACCAGGGATGCACAAACAGAGAGGAAAGACCGTGTGAGGTCACAGTGAAGAGACGGCCTCCTGCACACCCAGGAGGGAGGCCTCAGAAGCCACCCCTGCTGGCACCTTGATCCTGGACTTACAGCCTCCAGAACTGTGAGACACTACATTTCTGTTGTTTAAGCCACCCTGTCCTTGTTACTTTATTATAGCGACTTGAGCGAACTAACACACCAGTGATGCAATCAGGAGTTTAGGGGCTGGGACTGTCTACACCAGAGGGGTCCTGGGGATGGAGGCACTTTTCAGATATGACATGGAGTCAATGCCAACAGGAATTTGAACAGAGGCAGCATTGGCTACTTAAATGTGGGTGTAAGCTAATTCTGCTGTTTTAAATAGGGAATAATACATGTATTTATCTCCCAGGACTTTTTATAAAAATGCTTAGCATGTAGTATGTGATCAATAAACATTAGCCCATAGGTTTAGTTTTGCTAATACTTTAAGGATGTTTAAAGAAGCAGGTATCCATGTGAGTACTGTTTATGGTACACATGTGTATTTGTGTGTGGGGGGGTGAGAAGGTATGGGGGGGCTGTGAGATGTTCATAGGTTCTTCAGTGCTGACATGGGTGGACACTGGTAAGGATACACGTATGTCCACCTGTCACATTCATTCAGGGCATGTGGATTCATTACCTTGTTCAGTGGTTCTTTCACCAAAATATCTCAAATGCTTGCCCACACATGCATACATAATGTCAGTAAGTAAATAGACGAAGGAAATATGATACAGGGAGGTATAGGAACTAAGGGAGAATGGAGAAAGAGTATTAATTTCAGTTTGATGTATCAGGGAAAACTTCCTGGAGGAGGTGACATTTGATCTGAACTTGGCCAAGTGAAGAGGAGCAAGGTCATTGCACGCAGACATATATAGAGAGAAATAGCAGTATACGCCCCAAACAACAAACAGTTTGGGGTGGTTCCATTCCTCAGAACCCTTCTACCCCGAGCTGCACCCCATCAACCCTCCAGAGTTCCAGGTAACAGGGTCACAGAACAGGGAGAAAGCACAGATGCCAAGGAGCCAACACTTTATTTGTACAGACCAAGCATGCTGGGAGCCCCACACCCTCAGGGATACGCCTCTGCCAGACCTCTCTCGCCTGTGAGGGCGGCTGTGCTGGCTGGCTCTGGACCAAGGGCCCCTGGGGAGCCTGGCCAGTATCTCTCTCTCTCCAGACATTTGTGGAGTCAGGAACTCTTCGAGGGCTGTGCATCTCAGGAGGCTGCAAACAAATGTAGTCAGAGCTGATAAATGGGACACAGAAAGTGTGTTTTGGTGGAGAAAGTGAGAGTGGGTGGTGCTCTGGAGTCCCATATGCCCAAGTAGCAGCATTCCTGCAGAGCAGCCCCCTCCAGGAATGAGGGAGTGCAGGTGGCGAAGGGCAACAAGGGGCGGGAGACCTGGGACAGAGCCCCTGAAGGGCCAGAGTTCCCCAGTGCCGAGGAACCTGACGCTTCACTGTCCGCTGGGCGCTGGGGATATCTCCCATTTGCATCAGACTCCGTGCTATGCTGGGTAGTTGGTATTAATTGTCCCCATTCTCCAGCTGAGGACACAGATGCCTGGCAAGGTTGCCCTGCTTGCCTGAGGTCACATGGCCAGTTCCAGGGGAAACTGAGCTTTGGGGCTTGTCTGGTTCCAAATCCCACACATTTGCATCATGGGGAATGGGGCTGCATTGCTGAGCTCCGGACTCCTGCTCCGTAGAGGTCAAGGGCAGAGGGCATTTTTAGGCGGGTGCTCCCTCATCATGGTGAGAATTGCTGGGAGGGAGGAGGAGAACTGAGTTAAATAAAAGGAAACATGGCAGAGACAAGATGTTCTGTAACAGCTTCGACTAAGGACTCTTCCCCATTACGGACGCGTGCCCTTTACTTGGCCTTTGAAAGTGCTCTCTGCGTCCCTGAGAGCATAATAATGTAAATGAACGTCAGATCTCTCCCCAGTAATTGAGAGCAGAGAGAAGGCCATGTAAGTCAAATTAATTTGCTCTGATACAGTCCCAGCCCATCTCCACGGAAGGCGCAATGGCTTTTTGATGGGCTGAGGGTGCCTCTCAGAATAGCAGGTCTCTGGACGCAGAGGACGGACGGCTCCTTGGAAGGAGGACCGGAGGCTGGGGTACCGTGCTGGCCAAGTGCCACGCAGGGCTGCTGTCCCATCTGAGCTTGAGCTGCCTCGAACTCTGGGTTGATTTGTGGAGATCCTGGGCTACTGTTGGGCAGCAAGTATGTGCTGGGTCTAAACCTGGAGGGAAGTTTCACTTTTCCACTGACCCCAGCCTTACCTAAGGGGCTCTGCATTTCAGGCAGGAGCGAGAAGCAGAATGCTCAGGGCCCTGCGGCCTGGAAGGTGCCCTTGGAGGGGTTGTTAGGAGCCAAGAGCACTGAACTGGGAGTCAGTGGGGGCTGGGTTGGTGGCAGACTCACTGAATGACCTTGATCTTGAGGTCTCCCTCATTTGTTCCATGAGGTTGGAACCTGGGAATACCAACAACCCTTCAGGCGTGTGGTTTTATTTACCACAGCTTGGGAGGGCAGTGGAGGCACCTCTTAATCCAGCTCCACCAGCTTGGTTCTGTTTGCTCAGGACCATGCCTGGAATAGCATGAGGAAGTATTGCAGATGAAAGTGGGGCTTCTGGCGTTTAGAATCCCGGTTCTACCAGGGTGATTTTGCACAAGTGACTTACCGTCTTTGATTCTCAGTTTGCCCACCTGTAAAACGGGAATAAGTCATACGCACCACCTCTTGGGTTTCTTATCGTGGATACTAAATGACCACTTGATATATACATTCAATAACTGTAAGCCATGAATTCCTCCTCCCACCTCCAGTCCAGGGAAGTGGTAGGATTAGGGCCAGGATGACTCGCTCCCGGGAGCAGGAAAGAAGGCGGAGGGAAGCTTCCCCCATCCGTGCTCTGGGACCTTTGCACGTGTCCCCTCCTCCCTCCAACCCGCAGCTTGGGCCTCAAGTTTCTCTGTGTATATTTAATGCATGAGCTGGACCCAGCTCTTCTCCCCTACCCTGGCCTGACCCTACCACTGAGGACCTCCTGTCATTATGGGGACAAAAGGCCATGCCTGCCTCTCCAACTCCAGGTGGAACAGAGAACTGGAAAGAAAACCATGAGGGGCGGCTTGAAAGTCCAGGGCCTTCTCGGTACCGCCCCACAGGACGCTCCTGCTGTCGGACGGGCCTGCGCTTTCACGCAATCAGTGGCACCTCCCAGAGGGCTTCTGATAAACTTTGCACACAATGCTTTATTTCAGTAAAACCTCTATAAGCCCTCATCTCTAGAGAAATTAGCAGCAACTGGCCTCCTCCAGGCTGCCAGACCTGGGTGGACTATTCCGTTTTCATTGCCCCAGAACGGACCCTGCCTGCTGCTTTTACCTGAGCTGGCTCCTACTTCTGGAGGTATTTCTTCATTATGCTCTCAACATCCTCTTCTTTCCTCCCTGCCCCCGGCTCTCCGTTCCCGGGGGCCGTTGGCTCACCACTGTCACCCTCTAGCTGCGGGATTCTTGGTCGACTCTTGACGCTGTCGGCGCTTTTGAAGGACACGACGGAGCTGGAGGAGGAGGAGGAATCGGAGAGGTGAGCAGGGTCCTCCTTGGCCTCTGGGCTGCTTTTCAAAATGGTCCTGATGCCTGAGAGGAAGGTCCTGTCGGCCTCTTCCATCTCCAAGGGGACACTGGGGCGCTGCAAGCTGGCCGCTCCGGCCAAGGATGTGGGGGTCTCGGGTTTCCGGACGGCTGGGAGGAAGTCATCAAAATCCACTTTGGTCTGGCGTTTGTAGCTGAGGCTAGGGAGCTTCCAGCTGAACGGGTCACTGCCCAGAGGTTCCTCCATGAGGTGGGCGAACTGGCGGTTCTGGAAGACGAGTGGCTCCTTCCCGAGGTCTGGACAGCCCGCGTCATCTAGCGAGGACTCCAGACAGCGCCTCCGAGGACGCAGTGTGGGCGACAAGAGTGTGTCCCTGCGGGCGGGCGGGGAGCTTGGTGTGCTCCTGGGGCTCGGCCCTGATTCCAAGAGGGACTCGCAGGAACTGAACCGGGTCTTCAGCTTCTCGGGAAGCGGGGTGGGGCCCTCCGGGCTCTCGGAAGAGATGCATCTCAGGCTGGTGGATCGCAGGAGTCCGGCCGATGTCCCCGTGGCGCCCTCCGTTTCCAGGGGCGACTTTGCCCCAAGCCTCTGTGAGAGGGCTCCCCCGTCACTGCCCGCCCTGGCCCTCCTCAGCGTGGATGCCCCGGTGGTCTGGTAAATGGGCAGAGTGGGCCAGTCCTCCAGGCCCAGCACCGACCCCTGGCCTCTCTGGGCTCTCTTCCTCCGCAGTCCTTCCACGAACTCCGACAGGGCTGCCGAAGGACTGGGCAGCTTGTCCCTAGACTGTGGGGACATGTCTGTCCTCTGGGAAGCCGGGGAAGAAGACAGCGCTCCTAATCTCTCCGTGGGCTTTCTCTGGATGCCACACTCTTCGCCATCCCCGAAATGGCAGTACTTTTGCCGGTGGAGGGCGAGAGGCAAGACGGACCTGTCTCCCGCAGTCTTGCTGTGGACGTCCTGGGCTCTGCGCTGGGCCGATGCCGTCTTCTCAGCATCCCCGGCCTCCTCCTTCATCCTGCGCCAGGAAGAAAAATGCAGTCGGTAGAAATCGTGAAATCCAGACAATTTGCCCAATTGGCGTGAGAGCCACTAAGCACAGGCGCGAACAGCATTCTTCTTTGGAGACGCCATCCCTACCTCACTCTCAAATGAACCGCATGATTTAATGTACAAATTCAAGCCATGCAAATGATTTCTTGTTGCTTTCAGAAATGCAATTTCTGTTTACAATTAAACCCAGCTAAGTACGTTTGAGTAGATTAAAACTGCAGCTAGGACAGATGACTTAGATTTACGAGGCGTCATAGCTGACATGATAGGACCTACTATCCCAGAGCCTACTGTGAAATAAATAATTTGCTTCTGGAAGACTAGAGGGGGATCTGCAGGGGGTTATTTATTTATTTAGGACCAAGCCCAGAGGACAAGCCCACTGAGCAGGACTTCTGAGTGTCTGTGACTTAAATATGCATCTTGGTGGGACACTCTCAGATGCCCCTAATTTTTTGTGGGGAAGGAGTGGGGGTAAAAACAGTCCCCCCAGAGCAAAAGATTTACATGAAATCCACATGAAACCCAGAGTATACACAAGAGGACAGACGGTGTCTATTCTAGGACTACGCCAGGCTTGGCTCAGAGGCAGAGGTATTTTGCAGCAGCTGAACCAAAAGCACTTTCCCTCTGAAAAGTGGAAGCCTCGCAGGGAGGTGAAATTACAGACTGTAAAATAAAGGGCATCGTTTGAAGGAGGGAGCCTGGAGTCCATCAACTGTTCCTTTAATAAGTAAAATCTATTTGTCCTCCCCCTAAGAGAAACGACCCCCTTCCCGCCCACCAGCAAAGTTACAATTTATTAAGAAGCAAAAGAGGTGCCAAATGTCAGATTTTTGGCGTGGCAGACAAAACACGGGGCTGGGGCCTGAATAAGGCTGAGCGCAATGCGGATGGGGGTGTCTGTCCTGATGCTGCTCTGCGCTGTTCCTCTGGCTGTGACATCAGGATCCGCCCTCTACACATAAAGGGTGGCTGGGATTCTGTACGAGATTTGAGGAAAATGTCTTGTTCATCACTGTTTGATGTCATTGTTCCCATCCCCCTGACTGCACAGGACAGTTTAGAAGGAAAAGAGCTGACTACCACCACCGCAATCTGGGGAGGAAGCCGAGTCAGGGGCCCCTGGAGGTGACGCCCAGAGGCAGGCGCAGGGTACAGATATGGCTGGGGACCACGGTCTTTTCCAGGCGTGCAGGGAGGGACCAAGCTACCGCCTTCCTGAGCTCCCAGGGCCCAGAGCCGCAGCCATTCCGAAAGCCTCTCTCCTCAGGGCAGGCAGGTGCCTCTGCCGAGCAGGACCCGTGGGCTGTGTTAGAGGTGCCCGTGGGTGGTGGGCGCAGGGCCGGTGTGCTCATCTGCTTCTCCTCCCTCCCCGGGCCAGCCAGGCAGAGAGGGCCCAGGCCACAGGGCGGAGCGGTGGGGAGCCCACAGGCCCGAGGCAGTGGCATGAGCACCCGCTCCCCGTACCTTCCTCAGTCCTTTTCGTGTAGGGTCAGGCTCCCTACCCCCCTCCAACCCTCCTGCCTCCAGACCCCCTGGCCCACTCTGCCCGAGCCACACCTGTCTCCTGGGACAGGCCACTCGCTGCTTCTGGTTTGCATTTACTGTTCTCGTGTGCTGACCTCAGAAGGAAAGCATGGCAGTGAAGGAAAAGCCCTAGGCACAGGGCCTGGCGCCTCGCTCCTCAAATAATGAGTGACAGTTATGACGAGTAACTAACAACCAATCATTAACGGCCATTAATCAGCAATAGTTCGCAGTTAGTGGTAGTCATTATTAACACGAATAATCTCTGACTCTGTAGAGCCTAAGCCACCACCGGACTCCACGGAAGCCTCAGCTGAAGTTCTGAGAGGGGAGAAAGGAGGAATGAATAGGCAGGGGCCTGTGCGCCAGTCCTTCCTAAGGAGGCCGGGCCCCCGTGTGCTAAGGCAGAAGCCACGCGGTCTGCCCAGAGCACCTGCCTCCGTCCCCACTTCTCGCCTGTCACCTTCCATCTCCATCAAAGCTGGACGTGGCTGGAAAGGAGCTGGAGTTCTCCTTTGCGACGGCCCAAAGGTGCGTTTGTCAACATCGTCGCTCTGGAATTGCTCCCCTGATCCATGGCAAGATGGGATTCTCACCCCTTTGTTTATTTTTTCCTTCTTTCTATTTTTTTACCCTAATCAACAGCTTGGAGCTGCCAGTGGGGCAGTGGTCTGCTGCAGAGGTGACGGCGGGCATTTCCGTCCCGTCTTGGCCTCGAAGGGGGCTGAGCATCACGGATGTGTCTTGGGCGCTCAGTCTTGTCCACTGCCTGCCGTGCAGGGATGGTGGCCTCAAGGGCTCCTGCCGCTCAATATCCTGGGACCCTGCCATCCTGCTCACCCAGCTCCCGCCCGCAGTGCTGGCTGCGGATGCCGAGAAAGGGCACAAGGAAAGGGAGGGAGGGGAAGCTTCGGAGGAGGAGGGGAGGGTAAGAGGCAGAAGGGGAGGAGGTGGGGCATCACAGACCTCGAGCCCACACTGCCGGCAGCCCGCCGACTTTCACTGCTGCATCCTCTGCGTTGGCAGCGTGCCCAGCACACGGCAGATGCTCCGTAAATGCTGTTGAACTGAACCAAGTCGACGTTGGAAACCAAGTCTCCAAGGAGGAGGAAGGACCCAGGGTGCGAGCAGAGGAGGAGCAAAGGGCAACAGGAGGAAGCTGGGCAATGAGAGCAGGTGAGGTGGGGAGGGTGGGGAGACGGTGAGGACGAGGCGGGGGAGGGGAAGGGACCCCGAGGGGCCAAGGGCAGGCTGGCAGCTGAGGATCTGCGCCCCTCACCTCTGACCACATTTCCTTGAACAAACAGAGGGACAGGCTGGGGGGCACACCAAGCCATGGCAGGTCCAGCCGTGAGGGCAGGGGTCCAGGACAGAGAGCACGGGCTCCCTGGGCACAAGCCACGGGGTCTGGCTCTGCCCGACTGGAGGGGTCTGACTGCCTTCCCCGAAGCCCCCAGTAGCAGCGCCTTCTGTAGGTGGGCAAACCAAAAGGTCCCAGCCCAGTGCCCAAGCCCCAGCCTGGCTGTCCCCAAATGACCACTGGGTGCTGCCGAGGGGTCCGGGGCCGGAGGTCTTGGGGCTGGGATGGGCTGGGGCCTTGAGCCCCTCAGCTGGTGGACTGCTGCTGGACCGCCAGCCAAGAAGTGGAGACTGAAGGAGGACTGGTGGGTAGAGGGGGTTGGGGGTAGAGTGAGGGGTGGGGAGGGAAGAAAGCCGGGGGTCATGGCTGGGTGCTGCTCCGAGGTTCATCATTCAGAGACACCCCGGCTGGTGACAGGCACGTCTGTGCCCTGTCTGCACTACCACTCAAAGTAAGACACTCCTGGCATTTCCCCCTTCCTGTGCTGGGGCCGCAGGATTTCATCGGAATTCAGACGCCCTCCTGCGGCCTTCAGGGGAGGGCCCGGCTCTGCTGTTGGAGGCAGGACGACCATCTCCATTTCTTTCCTCGCTTTGGACATCTTTACCACCTCCTGCCGCCTTCATCCAGGGCCCTGGAGAGACTCATTTTTTCCATTGTCCTCAGTGGATGGCTTGTCTCAGATGGATTTCTCCTCCATCAGCATCATGTGATGGGTGGAAGGCAGATAATCAAGATGGCACTGCGCCTCCCTCCCAGAACCTTGGGCAGAGAGAGGGATGATGGACAGAAGATTCCCAGAGTCTATGGGAGGCAGGGATGGTGCATGCTAGGCCGCAGCACTGCGATGCTCTAAGGACAGACTCCAGAAACATCGCGGGAACTTCTGCTTCCTGCCACTCAGTCCTTTAGCACACCAGCCAGGAGAAGGGGTCAGCGGGCATCCCTGCGCATCCGGCCACAACAGTACCCGCTGGCCCCATAATGCAGCAGAGCGGGTGTTAATGGTTGCCAAACAGCTACTCCTGGCTGAGCACCTACTCTGTGCCCAGCACTGTGCTGGGGGCCATGGCTCCAAGGGAGAACAAGACGGATGGGTCTCCTGCCCTCATGGAGCTGAATGCCACGTTCATTTACAATCTTTACCGCAAGCTTCCAGGTAGGGATTATGACTTCCAGGCACAGTGAGGTGGGGGGACCTTGGAAAGCGGACACAGGTGGGAATGGCAGAGGTGGAGCTCCAACTCCAGGCCGGCTGGCCCCACGGCCAACGACACCCTTCTCTGTAATCTTCCTCTGAGTCCTGTGATGTGGCACAGGGTTAACAGTATTTCCTATGTCACCCTGTCTAGATAACATTTGTCACTTGGAGCCTAGTCTGCTTCTGCAACTCACTAGCCACATGGGGTTGGGAGAGTCACCTGACTTCTCTTGGCCTCAGTTTCCTCAGCTGTAAAATGGGGGAAACCAGATCCACCCTGCACTGTTGTAGAGATAAGAGCTCCAGGAGGGTAGGGGCTTTGTCTGCTTTATTCACTGCCATATGCTGGTGCCTATAGGAGTGTCCTGGCACATAGTAGGTGCTCAATATATATATGTATTGAATGAACATACAGGTATACAATAAACGTGTTTGATGAATGAGTGAATCTCAAGCCCGTCTGCATGTAGTAGGTACTCAATATATATGTGTTGAATGAATGAGTGAATCTCAAGCTCCTTGGCACATAGTAGGTACTCAATAAGTATGTGTTGGATGAGTGAGGGATGCTCCAGTGCCTGCCGTGTGGTAGGTATCCAATAAATGCTTATTTGGTGAATTGATGAATAAGAAATTATATATGAAAGTGCTCTAAGTATTGGTGGCTTAAATTTATGAAGGCTGAAATTCCCACTCAAGGCTAAGAAAACAGGCTTCAGAAGCAGACAGGCCTGGATTCAAATCCTGATTTTGTCCCTTCCTAGCCAGGTGTTTTGTGGAGCTTGAACTTGCTCAGCTTTAAGAGCCAGGTGAGGAATTTGAGATGATGTATGTGATGGTCAGTACCCACGAGGGTCATCTAGTTACCCATCCA